TGGAAGCAAGATTACTAGCTTGACATCAAAAGCATAAGAAATGCAAAGGACAACAAAGACAACATAACCTCTTTAGGTTCATCGGTATATCTCTATTGAAGATGGTGGATAATTGTTTTCATGATGTTTATTCATACAAGTTTCTAAACTTGGAAAGGTATAACTTCTGGGTTTCAGCAATAAACTTTCCATTATTAGCAGAAAATATTTCTATCTTAAGCCCCAAGTCAGAAAATTCAACTGATTTTAGTTACAATGTTACATCGCTAATAAGCTATAACTTTTATCTCCACAAAATTGCATAACAAAGAACGTGCTAAAAAAGGCAGCAATCCTGAAATTTGTGGTTGCCAAAACTGATATATTGACTAGGCACAAGGTACAAGAACTTCAGGAAGTAAACGAATGTTTCACCTCAATACTATGCTTCCCGAACCACGTGCCAATAAGATGTTCGTCTTTATCTTCTCCGGGATAAGAATATTGAAAGATATAGCAATCACCACTGTAAAATTTAGACTGATCGAAACCTGAAAGAAGAGTCCTCTGCTGACCATTCACACGCCATACCTGATATGAGTGGTGAATTGAAAACAGCAGTAGTTAACCAAGAAATGCAATTATTGATCATATGACAAGTTTTATGGCTCCAGAAAAATGACCACAAACAACCAAAAAACAAAATGAAAATGAATTCTTACAATTGCAATAGAAATCATTAGAGAAGTGTATCAAGGTTCAAGGACAGCAAATATGAGAGACATAAGATCTCAAAAATTAAAGGTCTTTCTTGTATCTTTCTTAATTATCCTTGATGCTATTGATTTGGAGATACCAGTATTTCCTTACTTCACCATTTTTCACAAATGCCACCTAGAGAGGTTATTTCCACCTCCATATACTAGTCATCTTATTTCCTTCTGTTTTCTAATTTAAGAAGCACAAGTTCTTCCATATTATATCCACTCCACAATTAATCATCAAATTCAAAACATTGCTTATGTTAGCCAAGTGATGGGGCTATTCCTGGATGTGAGCTAAAGAGAGACTTGGTGACTGGTTCTTAAAACCGAACTTATTAAAATGGTTCTGATATTCATATTTTATGAAAGATGCAAAAAACTTAAAGAAGAATAGATTTCCGTCTAGTTTGTTATTTAGCTTTCGGTCCAACTATTTCCAAAGAATTTATTTTCTTGAAGTGGATAATTTCTTTGAAATATCTGTTTCTCAATGTTGAATATTAAAAATAGAAACAAGAAATAAACCACTAATTTTTCGAACAGTATACGTAGAGAAGTAAACACAGCTGTCAGCAATCACCTTTAAATCCCCTGTGCAATCTATGTATAATTGAGTCTCTTCTTTAGGAGTTTCAGCTTTGAGAAGACCCTTCACATTTAAGCCTTGGCGCTTTAGAAGTGCTACAAGCATCAGATCAGACAGCATAATAAGAGCTTAAATAGTACAGGAAAATAGTCAGGACAACCATGACTACAGAAAGCAACCCAAGAAGAAGAAAGTATATTCGAGGGATAACTACAAAAGCTTTTAGCTTAAAAAAAAAAAAAATCTTTTTACAAAAAATAAATAAATAAATACAAAATGCCTCTTGAACATATTACAAAAACCTCAAGGTTCGTAGTTAGTTGGCTATCTTGAATGTGCAGCTTCCGTAAGAGAAACAAACGCCAAGGGGATATTTTTTATTTTGAAAAATAACTTAGTTTCAATATTTCTGGCAGTTAGACCAAACTTCAAGGTAAGTTTTGTAATTAATCCTAGTTTTTATATGACTCTGTTTCGAGGTACCAACTACCAAAATACTGCCTTATAAATTACTGACCTGCAACTTTCCCTCGACCCTCCTCAGACACCGTTACACTGACAGTTTGTGGCCATGAATTAAACTTAGAACGAAATGTCACAGTCTCAAACCCCTCAATCACACGGCTTACATGCGATTTGGCTCTATCTTGACCACGCAGTAATTCCTACATGAATGTAACAAAAATTGTACTAAATATAAAATCGGACAAGAATTCAGTTGAACATTCACTAAAGTTACTAAGCTTACGTCAACAGCGCTGCTTGCAGCTTTTCTTTGATTAAGAGAAGTATTTCTGCCCATCCAAATAAATAATTCCACACCACAGTCGAGAATAAAGCATTTATGTGTGTCTAGTAAATCCCTCGTCAAAGAATCTGCCTCAATTGGTAATGCCTCCCCCTTCTCCACACTTGACACAAGAGAAAATTATCAGAACCCACATATCAAATTTAGAAGGTTGCATTGTATATCAATAATAATATCAGCAAATTGATGCAATACCTATACTATCTACTCCAGGAGAACATCTAACTGTTTCTGTGATTGCATCATATATGCAGTTGAAGAAACTTTCTAAATGCACAAAACACATAACAGCCATGATGTTTAAGGAATCCATATAAACTGAAAATGATCAATTTGCTTCAGTTCAAATATACTGAACAAAAAGGAACATCAATTTCAATACCCGATCAACACACACAATGACAACGTAATCCAAGTTATGACACATGACGCAAGTGAGAAAGCAAAGTACTAAGAGGAAATTATATACCAGAAGAGCTTAGAAGGACCAGCATCAGTTATCTTCAGTTCATTAGCGGCTGTTTTCCTCGGAAGAGGCGCAAAGCCACCAAAGAAACCCCAAAACTCTCCTGTCTCAGCATCAGCCATTAGCCTTCCATCTTCTGCATTTTGATAAAAAAAATAACTTGAAGCACTCGTCAATCAGTTCACAAACTTAAGCAAAATAAATCAGCAACACAGTTACCGATAGCTGCTATTTCACATTTTCCATCATGATATGTATCTTTAATGTACTGAACAACTTCTAGCGCTTTAGCTCTCTCTTGAATGGATGAATTAGAACCATTGAATTGGAAAATTTTAGATGTTGTATCGAGAATAAAGATGTCGTCATGATTGAGAGAGGATCGAGCAAAAGGCACCTGCCAGATCATAATTATAAACAAGGATAGTGATATAGATATGTGTACTAAATAAAGAAATAAAAAAAAAAAAAAAAAAAAAAAAAAAAAAAAAAAGAAAAAAGAAAAACTGACCTCTTTCACTTGAATAACATGCTTCCCTTTACATACAAACAAACGAGTCTGATGTTCTTCGGCCTCAACATGCTTGAAGCCCGAAGCAACTCCACCTTCTTGAGGTATTATACATGGCTTAAAATAGGAAAGGAACTTCTCTGTCTCATGGCCTTGTAATTCACGGTATTGAACAGCACGTCCGCCCAGTGCTGCATCTAATTCAATAGTTTTGACAGCTGCAGTTCCAGCTTCATCCTGCATCGACAATAATATAAAATTAAATATATACTCCAATAAAATATATAAATAAAGAAAGTTAATGTACACAACTTACCTGACTGGTATCTTTACCTAGCCAATAATGAATATCATGGCGTAGTGCACCACTTTTCAATGCAGTGGTCTGCAGCAAGAAAAAAAAAATGTCATGCTCCTACATCATAATTTATAAGACATTAGCACGAAGGAGTACGATTTAAATCTAAGTAAACCGTAAATCATGGCATACTGGAAACACAATTAAAGAATCTTATTTCATAATTTGTTTGAAATAAGATTCAACAAAGTGCCCAAATTGATTGTGCAGCCTAATTAGTGTCAAAGAGTAAAAGGCATCGACTTGGGAAAGAATTAAGATCCGCTTTTGTATTCTATGTGTAACACACAAATAGCTCAGGCTTATTATGCATTCCTTGAGAATAATTCGGATCTAGTTTATGGCCTATTAGAAATAGCAGGCGCTCTGGACGCATCTTTACCGACAGAAAAATATCGCAGTCCATTTGGGGATGATGGAATTCCATTCGTTCTTCGGCACGAACCGAAGAATCCCTTAGAGATGATGCGAGATGGAACTTCTTCTATCTTGGATCAGATAGAAAAAGAGGAATCGCAGGCCTCAGAAGAGGCTTAAAGCTGATACAAAGTAAAGGATGCCCTATGATGACAGGCTGCTCTAAACAATATAAAATTCAATGTCGAGAGTATTTTGACATTCAACTGATTGGATGAAGATCAATATTCGATAAACTTGGAAACACTGCATATAGTTCTGACTTCTGAGAGCCATGATACGAACAAAGTAATAAATCAAGTTTAGTAATCAGGAATAGAACCAGAGGCAAATGGCATATAACAAAAGGTATCAAGAAAGTTTAGCAATCAGCCAGATCTTTCTATCATATGATTCCAGACACAAATCTGCCATTTATCACGCACTGTCTAGAAAGAGTTTCCAGGCAAAAGATTGCCGAATCCTCTTCTAACTTCTTCAAGCATGAGATTTATAGTTAATCACATAAGATTAAATGACTTATACCAAAGGGAAACATCTGGAACTAAACATGTATGCTATTTATTATCTGTGCTAAGAAGAGCATATGATGCATTATCAAACATAGAGGTTAGAATGAAAAGTTCAAAATGCATTGTAAAGTGAAATTGGCTTCAGCAGTCAAAAACATAGAACTTAAATATATTTCTGGAGAAGAAAACTTCAAATTACCTTTAGAATTACATAGGAATCTCCAGTGAAAAATTTTCCATGTGAGGATTTTGGGACTGTGACAGGATTGAAATTTTCAATTCGCCATATCTCAAGGCCGCTAGATTAAAGTTAAGGAGACAAACATGTGGCAAGTCATCATACTAACATAATTCAAAGCATTAATAGTAGCAATTGAAAATGATATAGGGGTAAGCATGATCTACTTAAAACGTCAGCAAAACTTATAATGACAAAGCTTTTATTGTTCACAACAGGATACGCCTTTTGTCCAGCTCCCTGGAAAGCTGGATCCACATCTTTCATTGATACAGACATAGTGCTTACCCACAAGTTTTATATTCAAAATTCTAAAGACCTGAAATCAAGACTGGAAAACCATGGAGGGTGAGGGGATAAATAATATTTAAGGGGATAAAATAAGCTTATAAAATGGTAAATGAATAAAAGCAGCAAAATGCACATACAACTGTGAAACTACTAAATAGCAGCCAAATTAAAGGAATAATCAACAAGTTGTAATGGACAGGAAATGTTGATCTTGCAGGTAAAGGGATATATTGCACTTAGTAGTTGTCAATTTCCCTTCATGACAAGAATAATTTCTTGTGTATCAATGATAAATTTCTAAAATTTCTCATCCAACCATAAAATCAAGCAAGGTTTACTTTCAAGGCATCTTAAACACGTACGGAAGTCTTTAATGGCACTCTGCCAGCAGGAAAAACTAAATTGAACTGGCAGCTTTTTTCACAGTTGAAGCCTTTTTACTATGGACTGGGAACTGCAACAATGTAGTGCCAAGATGATGCAGCAGTAGTCCAGGTTTAAGCTTCTCAAATTCAGGTATCATTGTCTTTCTTTTGACAAAAAGTTTAATTTCTTCGCAGGTATGCTACTTAAATATTCATTTATGGCCAACTATGCATATTTCTTCGTTGCTTGAACTTTGGGTTTGACGAATCATCTTAATTGACAGCTTTATGGCAATCCCATATATTTAAGTTTTCAAGTTAATGATATCTTCCAATCCAGTTTGAAGTATCTAGGTAAAAAGTGATTCACGCAATACTTAATTCCAAATTGCACTCTTCATTGAGAAAGTACGCGAATCAAATTTCTGAACTCCTACAGAAAAGCAATGCAAGCAAAGAATCAGCTGACATCAGAAAATTTCCCTCCATCACTTTTTCTTCTAGGGCACCAATGCAGATGGAATCACCTGGTGTCCTAGACTCCTAGTCAAGGTATTTGAATTAACTAAAACCTGTGCCTAGGTAGGATTTTCTTCTCAATAATTAAACCAAAAATGCACTAATCCACATTGCATGGTTCATTCATCTATTGAATCCTATTCCTGGCCAATTTCATGGTGGAAATAATCTTGAAATTCTGAAATCACATGGATGTAAGTACATACGAACTTTTTTAATTCAATGGCACATTTCACCAAACAAGAAAATTCCATTCAAACATTCAGACATAACAGGGCTAAAAAAATTACAGATTCCAAAGCATCGTTTCAAATTTAACNGCACACATAAAAGAACCCCAACGAAATGGCATCAAGAAGTGATTTCTTATCAATGAAAATGCACGAGCTCAGACAAAAAAAAAAAAAACTCAATTCCCCAAAACCAGGTATTATCAGTAAAACAAAAATCAACAAATAACAACGTTGAAAAAAATAGGGAGGGGGAACCAAAATGGTATAGCAGACAAGCTCAATTAGGCTAATTAAATTTACCTTGATCAATCTTCCACGGTGATGTAACCCACAAGCCCAGTTGAAGACTAGACCAAACAGATCCAATCCAATCACTCAACCAAGCTCAATCAGCGCAAGAAAGAAAAATTCAGCCGCTCAGATTTCCCAAAAGAAAAAATGATGGGTTTTCAGAAAGAGATGAAAACCGAAAAGAAATTTTAAATTTTTCTAACAAGAGAGAGAAACAGAGGTGGAGGGAATGATGGCGATGAGCTGACTGACAGGCGTGCCTATCACTACCAGCACCTAAAGAAAAGAAGAAACCCTCTCTCAAACAGTAATCTATATCTCTTCTCTATCTATATTAAAGTGAAATACAATGCAAAAAATCTATTCCAAAAGTAGAAAAATCCCGCCAAAAACTACTAGCCATTTTGAAAAAAAAAAATTATTTAATATTATGTTTAAAATCAATATATACCTTTTGAGGGTGGCTTATTTAAATAAAATAAAAAAATATATATGGCAAGCAATAAAAAAAATATTGTGGAAAAGAATCAAACGATCGGATTTTCAAAATTCGTTTTTTATTTTTTATTATTTTTTTATCATTTTTTATTTATTTTTTTGAAAATGCGTTTTTAAGTTTTTTTTTAAATAAATAAATAAATAATAAATAAAAATAAAAATGGATTATAAAAAATTATAAACGGATAAATCGAATTTCAATTGAAATCATTTTTTTCCAACGTCAATTATATTAATAACTCAAAAACTCAAAATAGTATAACTGAAGTGTCAAATGACACACTGGAACCAGAAAACTGGACCAACCCCCTTGTCATCACACGCAAGGGGTACAAACTCCATCAAGGAGGCAAACAACCACAAAACAAAACTCCAAAAGCAGACACAACTGCACTATAAGCAGACGAAGTTGCACTGAAAGCAGACGAAGATGCACTAACAAACCAACAAAAACAAAAAGGTAAGAAAAACAACACACACCTAATATACAAACTAGAATAAAGCTCTCCTCACTACCACCACAAATCCTAACCTCTCAGCGGAATCGACAACCGACGATAACCCCAAGAAAAACAAAATCAAGCCCCGACCCTAGATCTAGAAACTCCAAACTCCTAAACTCAAAAGGCTATGGCTAACTAGACCAAAAGTAACAAAGACCGACTGTCCTTCCACATGAATCACCACCAGACAACAACCTCGGGATCCAACAATTTGCAGCTCCCCATCACAAACCCGACAACCAGATCGGGGGGAATCGCCCAACACAATCACAAAATCGGACGACCCCAAGAGAGACGCCATTGCTGGCGCTAGCTCCGACCATCACGACGGCGGCGACCTTCGCTGGAGGTCTCGACCGCACTCCAAAACCGGCAGCCTGACCGGCTCGATGAACTCGCCATGAAAGGGAGATCTGAAACCGGGAGAAAGCCTGCCGCCATGGCCGCGCTGACGAGCTCCATCCCAACGCTGCTCGACCCACGGAGGAGGAAGAACTGAGGCGGAAGAGAGGAGGCACCACTCAGATCTGGTTTTTTTTTTTTCTTTCTTGGGGATAGAGAAACTTTTTAGAGAGAGGGAAGACATGACGAAGAAAGGTAAAATCTCAATTTTTGATTTCAATTGAAGTCAAATTACTACAATCTCAGTCAATTATAGTGTAATCGACCTCGAATTAGTCCAATTGAAGTCGAATTAGTACAATCTCGGTCAATTATAGTGTAATCGAGCTCGAATTAGTCCAATTGAAGTCCAATTAGTCCAATTGAAGTCGAATTAGTACAATCTGTGTCAATTATAGTGTAATCGAACTCGAATTAGTCCAATTAAAGTCAAATTAGTACAATCTCAGTCAATTATAGTGTAATCGACCTCGAATTAGTCCAATTGAAGTCGAATTAGTATAATCTCGGTCAATTATAGTGTAATCGACCTCGAATCAGTCCAATTGAAGTCAAATTAGTCCAATTGAGGTCAAATTAGTACAATCTCGGTCAATTATAGTGTAATCGAACTCGAATTAGTCCAGTTGAAGTAAAACTAGTACAATCTCGGTCAATTATAGTGCAATCGAACTTTTGACCGAGACTGTACTAATTTGACTTCAATTGGACTAATTCGAGTTCGATTACACTATAATTGACCGAGATTGTACTAATTCGACTTCAATTGGACTAATTCGAGGTCGATTACACTATAATTGACCGAGATTGTACTAATTTGACTTCAATTGGACTAATTTGACTTCAATTGTATTATAATTGACCGAAATTGTACTAATTCGACATTTTTTTTTCAAACGATAGGCTTCATAGAAAAATAAACCACATAATTACAACCGGCTCACTAGCCGAATAAGGGAGGCCTACCACTATAGGTAGCCTAGAACACAACACACAACAAAACCACACAAAAACTAAAGAACCCCACTAATGAGGAATACATACTCCCTACGGGAGAATTCACACTCCAAAGGAAGAAAAAAACACTAACTCACAGTAACAACACAAATAAAACACAAACAAAACACTAACAACACAAACAAACACAAACACATAAATCTAAAACACTGCAAAAAAGACAGCCCTCCCCACCGGACGGGAAATCCGAGAACCACCACACCCCGGGCAAACACCCATCGCGAAATACCGAGAAAAGTCACGAGAGCCACGGCCCAAACACAACAGACCCAGAAACTCCCCTAATGGGCTAATTAGATCCAGACCACAAAACTCGACATCTCCTCCCAGTACTCCACAGACCCGACCCATGCCGAACCACTCCACAGCCCCCCCTCCTCAATTATAGTGTAATCAAACTAAAATTATAGTCCAATTATAGTTCAAATGAAGTCAAATTAGTACATTTGAAGTCAAATTAGTAATAGGATTAGATTTGAAGCTTCTCGACCCTTCTCTCTTCCGAAAACAACTCTTCGCCAATCTTCATCGTCTCTCCTCCGATTTGAAGCTGTTCGCCTTCCTCAGCGGCCGTCGAGCTTCGCCGGCGGTCGATGGCCCTAGGCTGCTTGGGATCCCCCCCCCTTTTTTTCCGCTGCTTTTTCCGATTTCATTAGCGGAATCCCTTGCCGGTTGCGGATGGGCTCCATCTTTCCGGCGTCGATTCGTGACTTCAGGTAGGTGGGTTCTCTGGTGTGCGGTAATGGAGCCGTGGTGCCATTCCTGGGGTGGGACACGGCTCGATTGCTCGGCGACTTGCTGCTGAGCGATGAGACGTTGCTGTTGCTCAAGGTCACTCTTTGGTCCTCTGATTGCGGGTTTCACGGGGCCGACGCACCAATTCTTCTCTCCGTGGAGTTGTTCAGGGTGGTGGTGCTGCAGATTGCGGTGATTTTGGGCACTTTTCAGGCGATTTGGGGTCGGGGCTAGGGTCGTGGCACTCTATTGTCCGTTTGGGGCAATTGGTGTTATGGTCGTGGTGGGGGTTGGCCTGCTGTGGTTCCGGGGTTGGAATTTCGTCTCCGATAGGCAACCAAGTGGTTTAGGTAGTTTCGGGATCGGTGTTCTGGTTACGGAATACGTGGTCGACTTGTTTCCGTTGGTTCGGCTAGGTGATGCTGTTTAGGAAGGGCCATTTAATTTATGTTGTTTTTTGTTGTTCGTTTTGTGGTTTAGTGTGTGTTGTGTCGTGTTTTCGTTTTGCTGTTTTGAGCCTGGGTGTCAACTTATTCTCCCGTTGGGAGCCAACACTCGGGTATTACTCCGTTGGGGTCCTTTTAGTTTTTTTAGTTTTACTTCGTTGGGGTCCTTTTAGTTTTTTAGTTTTTTTAGTGTTGTTGTGTGTTAGTGGTTTAGTGTTCGTTTGTATTGCTCCGTTGGGGCCGGCTTTAGGCAGTCATTGACTAAATTGACTGTCCTCCCACTCTATTCAGCTGTTGGCTGGTTCTATTCAGCTGGTGGCTGTACCTTTATACATTTTTGTGATTTATATATAATATCTCTATCGTTTTGGAAAAGAAAAAAGAAGTCAAATTAGTACAATCTCGGTCAATTATAGTCCAATTGAAGTCAAATTAGTACAATCTCAGTCAATTATAGTGTAATCGAATTCGAATTAGTCCAATTGAAGTTGAATTACTTCAATCTCGGTCAATTATAGTCCAAATGAAGTCAAATTAGTCCAATTGAAGTCAAATTAGTACAATCTCGGTCAATTATAGTCCAATTGAAGTCAAATTAGTACAATTTCAGTCTATTATAGTGTAATCGAATTCGAATTAGTCCAATTGAAGTCGAATTACTACAATCTCGGTCAATTATAGTGTAATCGCCCGTTATTTTTTATGTTACAAAAAATTAAAATAAAAATTAAAAACGGATTTTCAAAATCCGTATTTATGTTTTTTTTATTAAATAAAATTTAAATAAAATATAATTAAAAAATAAAAACGGATTTTCAAAATCCGTTTTTATATTTTTTTAATTAAAAAAATAAATAAAAAAAAAATAAAAAATAAAAAAAAAATAAAAATAAAAAATAATAA